GGGGGGGGGGGTCCCAATGGGCATAATTTTGTTTCATATACTCATCTCTCTTATGACTAAATTTTTTTTTAATTGTTTATGCCCTTTTTTCTATAGGGTTTGCACATAATATACTTTCGTATCAACAAAGCAAAGGTTGAAAATTTCAACGATAGTGGAAAATTATTCTTAATGAAGAGCTCCTCTTCCCTGTTTGCAATCATTCTTGTCCCTTTATCCTTTGTCTATATATAAAAATTTGTTGAGGCTGCTAAATGCTACTACTTGATTATTAGTATTTGGTATACCTATTTAATTTCTTTATACACAGGAAATTATTCAACGTCTAGCTAAATAAAGAAAGAGGAGAGAAGTATTTAGTTTTGGTTGGTTGTTTTGGCTTCGTCAATCTTCTTTTCCTCTTGTTGTACTAAACTAAAACTACAAGTTCCTTTAATTTAGATGTAAATGCGCGCTAATAATATGGACCAAGTCTCTTAACAATTGGATAAGAGTGTAGGGATTATAATACTATATACGAATAGATCCATTGGTCTCTTATCTTAGTATAACTTAGCTAATAATAGCAACAATAACAACACCATAATGACAACCACCACAACAGTGATAACGATACTCCTTAATTATACCTTCCCCCACCCCCAACCCCAAAAAAAAAACCAAAAAAAAAAAAAAAAGAAGAAGAAAGAAATTTAAACAAGAAAAGAAAACAAGACAATGTTCTAGCTAACTAATTTTTAAAATTGATTGAAGTTAACACTGATTCTTTCATTTTTTTGCAATTAATTTTTACATCTAAAATATTTTATATATATATAGCTGTAAATTATATATCGGATGTGGTTTGACTGGTTTTTAATTGCCCACAACTCTTCACCGAAGTCATGTCCCAGAAACATAAAGAAGTAAAGGGAAACATAAGACTAGCTTTCTTTCTTTATGTCTCGACCTTTTCATGCTATATTATTCATGATTTAAAAAAAATATTGTTGTATGAAGTTAAAGTTTACGTACAAATTTCAAGTCTCCAAACAATTATATTATCTTTCTTTCAACTTTTCGATTTCATAAACTTAAGCAATTCTGACCACTACTTTGAAACTCTCTTGATAATTAAAGGCTGGATAGACAACAAATTTCCCACGACTATATGGTAGAATCAAACCTTATACACATTTCAAGAATTTTATACTAAGTCAATCCTAATTATTAGGAATTTAAATATAATGGGTTCAACTTTTAAAATTTTTTAGCATTAAACTTATTATACTATTAAAATTATGAATTTAAATCTTATATTTATTAAGATTTTAGTAAGTTTTATATATAAATACACACTCTATGTCGAAGTAACCGAAAGGCTTCCTCCGCGGCTCATCCCCTGTTATAAGCTACCACACCACATACTCATATTATATATGTGCGTGTTTGCGCGTGTCTTTTGTTTTTTCATTTTTTTTTTTCTGAGGTCAAATAACGCAGCAAAAACTTCATAAGGTTTAAGCAGAGATGAACTAATATATACTATCTAGCAGTTGAACCTAGGTTCATATGTATACATTGCAAATCCTATTTTTCATTTTTTTCCTTCCTTATGACTCAATCGAGATATTTCAGTAATCAAATAGTATATTACTTTCTTGTTAATTTAATATCAAGTGCTCTACATGCATGCATATGGAATTATTTAAATGGTGCCAGCTAATTAAGGCATCCATAGTTTAATAGAACTAAGAACAACCAAATGCATGTTGACAGTCACTTACGTACACAACAGGATTAGGATCTTTGTTTAGTAACGCGCCGAATCAAGTTTTTAATTCTTCGTATTAATTAGGTTAATGACTAAACTGTCTCAATCTGTTTAATTACAATTTTTTATTCGTCATTCTAATTATGTACTAGCGTTAGGTGAGATGATGTGTCAACGAAGTCCTCGATAATTACTTGATTAATTTCACTTAATAAATACATTGAAATTAGTAGGACGGATTAGTGGAACTTACTTCTCAAACTTCATATTAAATTATCAGAAAGCTTTACAGGATTTAAGTTTTTGCTCGAATTGGTCCTTATTTTGTCGAAGTGATGTAAAAAGGGACATTTCAACAATACAAATATTAAAACGAATTTAATGATTATTTGAACTAAATGACCAATTTCAGATTATAAACTCTGAATTCAAGGAAGAAGATAAAGAATGTCGACTAGAGAAGTTAGAGAGAGAATGAATGGAGAAGATAATGAATGCATATCTTTCTTATTATCTAAACATATTATCTCATTACAATATATATAGGTAGGTGTTTTAACTAATAATTTGAATTTAACTAATTTGCTTATTAACTAACTAATGGATATGACTAACGGTAATTAAAGGAGTGTAAAGACTAAAATGCCCTTATACTTTAATACATATGTTACTCCTTTCTCAACACTCCCCCTCAAGCTAGGTGGTGAGAAAATGTTTAGAACTCCTAGCTTGGACATTAGATGTTCATGTTGAATTCTGTTGAGACCTTTAGTAAGAATATCTGCAGGTTGATCTTTGCTAGGGATGTACTTTATTACTATCAGTCCTTGTACTATTCTTTCTCTTATGAAGTGGCAATCTATTTCGATGTGTTTGGTTCTCTCATGGTATACAGGATTAGCTGCAATCTGGATAGCAACTTTACTATCACTGTGTACTTCAATGGGTAAGGTTACTTCAATGCCAATTTCTTTCATGAGACCTTGTAGCCAAATGAGTTCAGCTACTGTAGCTGCAATGCTTCTGTATTCAGCCTCTGCAGAACTTCTAGATACTATCGTTTGCTTCTTTGATTTTCAGGCTACTAATGAGTCTCCTATCTTGATTAAGTACCATGTTACTGATTTTCTGGAAATTGGATATGCTGCCCAGTCTGCATCACAGTAGGCAGTAATGTTGTTGTTGTTTGAACTGGATAATAGAATCCCTCTTCCTGGTTGATTCTTGATATATTTGACAATCCTCATTGCTGCTTCCATATGTGATCTTTCAGGCTGTTGTAAGAACTGACTAAGTGTTTGAACACTGAAGGAAATATCTGGCCTGGTCATTGTTAGATAAAGTAGTCCGCCTATCAATCTTTGATATGAATTAGTATCTGCAGGAGGATCATATGTTACCTGGTCTTTGCAGTGATCATCATATTCTCTGGTTGTCAGTTTTGTATTAGTGTTTAGTGGAGTAGCTATGGGTCTAGCAGCACTTAACCCAAGTTCTGATATAAGCTCTTGAGTATACTTCCTTTGATGCATTAGTATCCCTTGTTTAGATCTTGCAAACTCAATACCTAAGAAGTATATTAGTTCACCTGGATCTTTCATTTTAAACACCTGATGCAAGTTGTTTTTTGTTTCTTCAATCAATTTCAAACTATCACATGTTATCAACATATCATCAACAGATACTAAAACCATAGTGATACCCTCAAGAGTCTTCTTTATAAATAAAGAGTGATCAAACTGACTTTGTTTAAAGTCAGATTTTATTAGAGCTTCAGTTAGCTTTGCATTCCATTGTCTTGGAGCTTGTTTTAACCCATACAAGGATTTGATGAGCCTGCATACTTTCTCCCTTGGCTCTTAAATCCTTGTGGCAGCTCCATGTAGATTTCATCATGTAAGTACCCTTGAAGAAATGCGTTATACACATCCATTTGATATATATGCCATTTTTCTTTTGCTGCAATTGCAAGAGTTGTTCTCACAGTTTTCATTTTAATTACTGGAGAAAAAAGTTTCTTGATAATCAATTTCTTCTTTTTGATTGTACCCCTTTGCTACTAACCTAGCTTTAAACCTCTCAATTTCACCTGAAACCTTATACTTCACTTTATAAATTCACTTACACCCTATTGGAGTTTTTCCTTCAGGCAAGAAAACTATGTCCCATGTATGATTATTCTGTAATGCATCAATTTATGTTTTCATTGCCTCTATCCATCTAGGATCTCTTATTGCTTCTGCATAAGTTGTAGTCGCATTAACATTTGAGGAGGTAGTAATAAATGCTCTGTATGATGAAGACAAACCTTCATAACTGATGTAGTTTGATATAGGGTATGGAACCTCTTGATGAATATTGAGTGACACAAAATCACTTAACCATATAGGTGGTCTTTTCTCTCTGTCGGATCTTCTATGAACTACTGGATTTGTGTTCTGAAAAGAACTTGTAGTTGGTATTTCAAGTCTCTCGGAATTTCTATTTTGAGGCTCTTGATATATATTGTCCATGGAGTTACTCTGTATAGGTTCAGAGATATGACCAAGTTCTATTTCCATAATATTATTTGAAGGTTGAGCTGCTATCTGATTATGTATATGTATATGATCAGGAATTGATAATTGAAGACCATGTAACTGAGAATTTGAAGTGGAGAATATAGGAGTTGAATAGTCTTCTTTCCTTTTGAAAGGGAATACATCTTCTCTTAAAACTACAACTATATTAACAAAGAATACCCTATCCTGTAGGTCTTACAATAGATACCCTTTTTGGATTTCTGCATATCCCATATGAACTGTAGTTTTGGTTCTTGAGGACAGCTTGTCATGTTGAAGAACTATCTTAGCATAACATAGGCAGCCTAGTATTTTTAAGTGAGTATAGGAAGAAGACTTTTGATATAATTTTTCATGGGGAGTCTAATTGTTGATAACAGTACTTGGAAGCCTATTTATTAGATAAACAGTATCAGTAACATAGTGACCCCAAAACTTTATAGGTATTTCAGCTTGAAATCTAATTGCCCTGGTGACTTCTAAAATGTGTCTGTGCTTTCTTTCAGTAACTCCATTTTGCTGAGGAGTGTAAGCATATGAAGTTTGATGAACAATTCCATACTTCTTAAACATTTCATTGCATACTGAGTTTATAAACTCAGTACCATTATCAGTTCTGATAGTTCTAACAATTTTGTTAAACTGAGTTTTAATTAGAACTTAAAACTGTTGTAACACAACACATACTTCTGACTTTTGTTTAAGCAAAAACACCCAAGTCATTCTTGAAAAATCATCCACCACAGTTAAGAAGTACTTATTACCATCATATGTAGGAGTCTTGTATGGTCCCCATAAATACATATGAACTAGATCAAACTTGCTTACAGATTTAAAGTTACTGATAGCAAATGGTAATTTGATTGTTTAGCACAAGGACAAACTACGCATTGCTTTACTGTATCAACTATAAGATCAGTTTTACTATGAAGTAACATTTTGAGAACTGTAGATGAAGCATGACCAAACCTCTTGTGCCAAAGATCCACTTCCTTTGTTGTAGTTGAGTTATTCTGGTCACTTTCCTTTATTCCAGCTGTTACTGCTAGGGATGTTCCAATCTTTTGTCTTTCTAGTATATATAGTCCATCATCCTCCCTACCAATCGCCCTTACCTTCCCACTGAAGAGTTTCTGAAATACACAGAAATTAGGGAAGAAGGTTGTTGAGCACTGCAATTCCTTTGTCAGTTTAGAAACTTATAATAAATTGAATTTGAATGATGGAACATAAAACACATTAGTAATTGTATTTCCTTATGATATAGTACTATCCCCTGTGTGTGTCACATATGAAATATCTCCATTTGGCATGAATATTTTCTTTGGTTTTTCAGACTGAATTACAGTAGACTCATTTAGCATATTCAAATTTGCCACCATGTGATTTGTGGCTCCTGTATCTATTATCCATTCTTAAAGATTATTGGAGACCATCATAGCACAACTAATACCTGTTGTGTTGGCTGCAGGAGTTGAGACTGTGTTTGAGACCTGACTGGTTCCAGACTTGTTGAGAAGTTGAAGTATCCGATCATATTGCTCTCTTGAGATGTGCATCGTGACATTTGATTCAACTGATTGAAATTGAATTCATTCACATGACCTTTGTCCTTAGAACCCTGATTTGTATTCATATTAACACTTTGTAAAGGACCTCTTGTTTCATTATAACTACCATATGTCCGTTGCATCATATTTTCAGTCATAACATTGTAGGCAGCATTGGTTCCAGTTCCTCCTTTCTTTTTTGTCTATAATCAGGAGGATAGCCCATAATTTTATAACAGTTTTCTTTGCTATGCCCCTTGAGTTTACAAAAGTCACACTGAACATTGTAATTTTTCTTGAACCTTTGATATCATATGGATCTTGAGTACATGACTGCATCAAAGCTTCCTGACATCATTGCAGGATTAGCACCTAAAATTCCTGTGGCATTGGTTATTAACTTCTGACCTTCATCACTAACTATCATAGCATAAGCTTGATTAACTGTAGGAACTGGACTTCTCATTAGAATCTGACTCATTGCCTGGGCATATGAGTCACTAAGTCCCATTAAAAACTGATACAACTTCAGTTTTTGAAGATATACCACAAACTCCTTAGATTTAGGGTAATCACAACCTGGTGCAGGCACCAAGGCTTCAAACACTTCCCATATATATTTCAATTTCGAGAAGTATACTGAAACAGACGCAGTACCTTGAGACAATGTTGCAATTTCTTTATGCAGATTAAACGACCTTGAATCATCTACCTTGTTAAGCCTCTCAAACAAATCTTCCCAAACTAATTGGGCACAGAAGCATACATAATTCCTCCTAGAAGATTTTTAGACACAGAATTCATAATCCACGAGAATAAAATTGTATTTACTCTCTCCTAGTGGTTCTATAGAACTTCTGGAAACGTTTCCTTCTTACATGAACCATCAATCAAACCTAACTAATTTCTTCCTAGCAAGGAAACACGCATAGATCGATTCCAGATTGAGTAGTTCTCAATACTTGTGAGTTGAAATGAAATGATCTGAATATCGCTCACATCAGCTGGAGACAGGAATAGAGGAAGGTTATAGTCAATTCCAACTGGTTGATTTCCAGTTCCAATCGTTGAATTTCCAATTCCAGAGTTCAATTGATCCCTTGCATGTGGTTGAGACCCAGATCCATGACCTAAACTTTGTTCGTTTTCCATTGACAAGATTTCACAAGAATTTGAATTTGATTTTCAGTAAACAAGAGATAAAAGAAGGATCGATCACATGAGCTTAGAATTCAAGCTCTGCCTCTCTGATACCATGAANTGTTGATGAACTATCTAAATGATCAATTTCAGATTATAAACTCTGAATTCAAGGAAGAAGATGAAGAATGTCGACTAGAGAGAAGTTAGAGAGAGAATGAGTGGAGAAGATAATGAATTCATATCTTTCTTATTATCTAAACAAATTATCTCATTACAATATATATATAGGTAGGTGTTTTAACTAATAATCTGAATTTAACTAATTTGCTTATTAACTAACTAATGGATATGACTAACGGTAATTAAAGAAGTGTAAAGACTAAAATGCCCTTATACTTTAATACCTATGTTACTCCTTTCTCAACATTATTAAGGGACATTTCAACAGTTCAAATATTAAAACAAAATTTATGAATAATGAGATTGATGTTGATTCCCTTGAGTTTGCTTTTTGGCTTCTCCTTTAACAAGTTACTCTGTTAATATCCTAAACAAATATAATTGAAAATCCTTTTAAATGTGTTATCACAATGTGATCAACAATGCCCCAGTAATATTTCACGTGTGGGATCTGAAAAGGATAGTGTGTACGCAAGTAAAGAGGTTGTTATCACAATGTGATTGAGTAAGGAAATGAAAGTGGTCCAAGTATCTATAAGCTAAGGGGTGACTAAGAAAATACTAGGAATATGCCATAATTTCGATTTAATTAGTAGTATATTTAGAAGTTACCTCATTGAGACATCTTCAAAATACTAGTAATAAAAGTATATATAAACATGTGTATTATATATTTATTGGGTTGATATAAATATTTAGGACCCGTTTTTCATTTTTTTTTTCGAAAATATGTTTGTCCATGAAATTTTACAAGTTTTTGAAAAAAGTTCGAAAAATGAATTTTTCAAAAACCAAAAAATATGGGTTTGACCAATTTTTTAAAGAAATTAATTTTTTCTAACTCACAAAACTGCAATATTTTTCAAGTGAAATGCATGTCCAAATATAATTTCAAAATGCAAATATCATTTTTAATTTAACTTAAATACTAAAAAAAATTACAATTTATAATTTTTATGTCAAAACCCTACTCAGTGTGGGTAAATTTTTTACCTTGCTGAGCCTAATCATGATACAAGCCGGAACCTAAATGTGTCAAAATACGTTTTTAAGTGTAAGAAAAGTTACACTTCTAAATAAAACGCAGTATATTACTGCACTTTACCTTAACGATCGCTTGGACCGTTAAGGTAAAATGCGGTATGTAACCGCGATTTATATAGAACGTGGTTATACACCGCAATTTACCGGGAGCTAAAAAGATTGGTATATAAAACGCGATCCATTACCGCGATTTATATAAAATGCGGTAACGGACTGCATTTTATATACAAAGTTCCACCAATAATTCTTCTGCGCTTAACTAGCATAACAATAATTCAAATATGTAAAACGCACTTTTAAACCGCGTTTTACTTCCAAAAATTTGACCCCCCAGATTGGGCATTGCCTTATATAAAGGCGTTAAGGGTTTTGAGAATTATCATTCAGAAATACTCCAACTTCATGATAAATTTTTCTTGTTGTTAAATTCTCAAGCTTTGTTCATAATGTCTGAAGAGCAAAAAGTAAGGGTTTCATTATATTGGCGGATGAGGTTGTGGTGACGAATAACTAAGTGAGCTATAGTTATCTCCACAGAGTCATGTTAAGTTTCCACTTACAATGCAATACGATAGACTGGTATCGTTGTTATGCAATAAAATGAGATTGAGCAAACGTTCGGTAAATCTTAAAATAATCGGAAGATATCCGTATTCTGTGACACCATAGGGGTTTGCTTGTTATTATGAGTTTAATATCGAAGACGATGAAACTCTGAGAGAATTTTTGGGGATTTCGGATGAATACAGGGAATTTATTGTGTTGGAAATGTACTTCAAGGCTGAAGACGTTCGCAATAATGAGATATCACAAAGGAGGGATAACCATCAATTATCGGGTGGTTATTCTGGAGAGGTTTTAGCACAATAGGTTCCGACTGAAAGAGTTTGGCCGGATCTAAACTTATCTCCACGGGCAAACGAGGAGTGAGGAGCAAGGAAATAATTGCTCTCCTACTTTACATAATCCACAAGACGGCTTGTAAACTTCAATATTCCTTTCTGTTATGATGTTTATTTTTTGTTGAATTGAATTTATATTAACACTCATATATTCCACAGGGGGTACCGTTCAGATATGAATTTTACAAGTTATAACCACACGCCCGGTTGGAATATGCGTAGTTTTGGTGTGTTGGATCACAGTGGTCCATCCGGGAGTCATCACCAATAGAAAAATGTCTATCATGGAATGTCAACACAGTACGACTTGTAAGTGAAGTGATATAGTTATATGTAAAGTATATATCAATTTGAGTAGCTTATCATTTTGTTCTTTTGTGTAGTGAAAATGAGCAACTTAATGGTCCTGACCTCACTCAGTTGCCCGTAGATGACGTATTTACTCGTGATTTGGCAGATGCGCAGAGTCAGGAAGATAATAGTGATTATGAGAATAATTCCGATGAGTCTGGAGATGAGATACCCTTTCCTAACGAGGGTAATGATGAGGAGGAAGTGAATGTCGAACCTGAGCTGACGAGAGAGTATGCTCCTCCACCTCCCATTAGACCAAGAGTGTACGAGTCTCATGTTCCGTTTCATGAGTGGAATATTCCTTACCTTGATAATTTGCCAAGTATGCCTGATATGGATGCCCTCACAAGGGATCTTGACGAAATTCAGTCAGCAATATGGGATGAGTCTAGACCAATGGCGCTGGCAAAGGGCATGTATTTTTCCGATAAAGCTCGCCTATCCAGGGCTTGTAAAATGTACAACGTAAGAGAGTGTCGTGAGATGACAGTAAGGGAGTCAACTCCGAAAGTATACAAGGTTGTATGTCGTAGATACTTTATGAGTTGTAACTGGATGTTGCGTGCTATCAAGAAGGAAACAGGATTGTGGAAAGTGGGTAAATATATTGGCATCCACGTTTGTGAAATGGATACATTCAATGAGAATCACTTCAACTTGGATGTTGACTTGATTTCCCTTGTCTTGATTCCACACTTGGAAGTGTCCAGTAGGTACAAGATCAAAGAGTGTATTACATCCGTCCACCAGGAATATGGGTATACTATAACCAAAATAAAGGTATATCTCGGGCGCAAACGTGCATTTGAAATTATTTATGGTGACTGAGATAAGTCATTTTCATCTCTACCCAGGTATATGGCCGCATTGAAACACTTTAACCCCGGGACCGTTGTTGAATAGAAGCATGAGCGGAGTCCAGAAACATCGGAATATATATTTAGATATGTGTTCTAGGCATTTAAACCAGCAATTGATGGTTTTATGCATTGCCGTCCGGTAATTTCCATAGACAGTGCTCATGTCTATGGAAAGTATAATATTAAGCTATTGATAGCCGTTGCAGTAGATGCCAATGGACAAATATTTCCACTAGATTTTTTCCATTTGTGCCAATAAAAGCGAAGAGACGTGGACGCTATTTTTGAACCACTTGAAGTAGCACATTGTCAAATAGCGTTCAGGTATTTGTCTAATATCTGATCGGCATGGTGGTATTTTAAGTTCTGTACGACATTTTCCTGAATGGAAGGAACCTTATGCATACCATTATTACTGTGTGAGGCACATGAATGCCAATCTCCAGAAGAAATTTCCCGACAAGGCCTTGCATGATTTAATGTGGATGGCTACAACTGAGCACCAGCAGTGCAAATTTAGGAGGCGCATGCAATCGATCAGGCAGTTAAACGAAAGAGCCTATAATTAGTTGATGGGACATGAGCTTCACAAGTGGACATTGCATGCTGATGGTGGCAAACGATGGGGAGCCCTGACTACAAATGTGTCGGAGTCATTCAACGGGCTATTGAAGTCTGCATGTGGATTGCATGTCACTGCCATGGTCTAGATGACATTCAAACAGACGACAGAGAGGTTTGTTGAAAGGCATAGAGCTGTATTGGAATTGATGGACATGGGTGTTGAATTTATTCCAATACCGATGAGAAGATTTGAGAAATATAGGAGGCGAGCACATTGGCATTCATATTTATAGTATGATCACAACCTGGGTGTTTTTGAAGTTCGCACCACTATATGCGGACACCAGGGGAATAATCTACACGTCGTGAATAAAGCCAGCATGTTGTGTTCATGTGGGAAATGGACCATCTAC